CCCCAAAACCCCAAAACCCCAAAACCCCAAAACCCCAAAACCCCAAAACCCCTTCAGGAAAATCTAATTTGAATTATGAAACAAATTTATTCGAGGAAAATGGAGGAAGGCAGAGACCACAAGGAAAAGGTTCAAAAGCTCTCTAGGAAGCTCTATCTTGGCAATGACTATGAGGGGAGCTCCTCCTATAGGAAATCTCAAAACCTCAAAAATATCAAGACCAAATAAGACCTATGCGACTTTGGAGGATCATAAAATAATTCAAAAATTTTATCCGCAAAGCACCTCGAATAAGGAGAATAAGCCAATTGATCTTGGAGGTGCCTTGGCAATGAAGCCTAGTACAAAAAACTCTAAAAACAATCACCCTAAGAACAGATATAGCTTGAAGAGTTATAATCACCAGACGAATTACACTCAGAGCGGGCTAAGGACTACTTCAAACAAGAATAACAAAAATTTTGCTATAAAATATCCGCTGGTAAAGAAGGACCAGATCTTGAACCACCAGAAGAAGCCATCAGAATACCCAGGCAAGGGGAAGTCCCTCCTTAGTCATGAGATGAAGGCTAGAAAGGGGAATAAATCTACTACGAGTCTTCCAACCAAGATGATCTCCACACAAAAGTCGAAGCAAAAGTTATCCAGAGAGAAGATAAGGTTCCGTCCTGAAGCAAGAGTTAGCAGTAACTTTCATCAGTCAAGACCTTATATCGGCAAAATGATTCCGCCTAAGACACAGAGGGAAATGGAGTCATTTAACTCTTCAGCCCAGATGACGAATATTGAGGAATACTCTTGTGACATCTCTTCTATGACTAAGTCTAATATCCTAAGTAAGAAGCATATTCAGAGGAAGAATCGCCCAGATTTTGAGCTGAGAGAATCCAAAACCCCTCGTGATAACATTCCCAAGCTGAATGCATGGGAAGCTGTCAAGGAAAAAGTGGTTGAAAACTTCAAGAAAAATACACAGAATGAAGAGGAGAATGCTAGTCTTCATTTTGATAAAGAGAAGTATATGAAAAAGAATTGTATCAATCACAAGACTAAATTACAGCTTGATCAGATCCAAATGCATGAGAGTAAGCCTGATAATAACCTCTGTAGAGCTAACTGAGTCTGGAAAATCCCAATCGAGAGGTTGGATCAGCCAAAGATCTACCAGGAACAAGGATGAGAAGAATAAACTCAGTGTGAAGCAATACACTAAGAATAAGAGTAATAAGTCTCTTAAACTTTCCCAGAAATATTTAAAGCCGAGCTCTTCTTACAAATCTATTGTGAAGGACAAGCCTCAGACTACTAAAAATTCAACTTCGAAGAGGAACAAGAGCTATGACTTCAAGAAGCCTCAGTCCCGAAAGAAGTCAAAGGAATATAGAAGGATAAAGGACTATATCCAGGCTAAAAGTTATCAGAAATTAGGCAGCCAGACTACAAGAGAAAGAGAAGGAAAATCCAAGGATCTCAAGATCGAAATTGAGGAAAACAACACTGATGATAATGTTGGCATGATTAAGTTACCGAAAGATCTTGGCCCTCATCGCTCGGTGTCAGTACAAAACCGGACTACCACAATTACAACTTTTACAACTCTAACTTCGGAGGAGGATGACCATAAGCTTGATTTCGCACCTACAAAAGTGGAGGAGCACATCCCGTTGAAATCAGGAAAAGATATTATAGTGCCGAATTTCGATACGACCAAAACCTCTGTCAAGCGTAATGGAGTTGTCTGAGGGTATGCTGCCAACACTCATCAAGGGATTGTTAGGACTTACAACGAAGATAGAGTCAGCATCATCCTGAACATCATTAAACCTCCAAGCAGAAAGAACGAGGTATGGCCAAAATGATCTTTCTTTGGTATCTATGATGGACATGGTGGCTCCAAATGAGCAGAATTTCTTCGAGATTACCTTCATCAATTCGTTATCAGGGATCCAAATTTCCCCACAAACCCAAAGGAAGCAATCAGGAATGGCTTCAGGCACGCTGAGAATAAGTTCCTAGAGATCTGACAAGATGGCAAGGAAATCATTGATAAATCCGGGTCTTGAGCCATAGTTGTTCTTGTAGTCGGATCAAAATGATACGTTGCTAATGTAGGAGACTCCAGAGCCTTATTAAGCTACAATAATGGGTAAGCTAGGTGTGTAATCATAAAGTTGGAAATTCAGCAACATGGAAGACCCATCTTCAATCGATAATCAGATTGAGTTTGAAGAGTAAGAATAGCTTATAATTCTCTCATAGACTTAGTAGAGATCATAAACCGTCAGAAGAATCTGAAAAGAAGAGAATAATCACTAATGGCGGGCAGATCTATCATCGCACAGCCATTACAGTCAATAATAATCCTAAGAAGCCAGAAGTGGTTGTTGGACCTCAGAGAGTTCTTCCAGGAAGGCTCTCTGTATGCAGAACTTTTGGAGATCCAGAGGCTAAACTTCCTCAATTTGGAGGGAATCCAAATGTAATCATTCCAAAACCTGAAATAAGATCTTTTGAAATTAACTCAAACCATGACTTTATAGTTTTGGGATGAGATGGCATTTTTGATAAACTTAGCAACCATGACACTATTCTCTGAGTCTGGAACAGTGTCAAAGACTCTTTGCTCAGAAATCAGGTTCACAAACAATGAGCTTTGGGTGTAGAATACGTCATCAAAAACTCCTTGCTTAAAAAGACACTTGATAATGTCACTGTGGTAATGATAGCACTCGAAGGATTTGAAAGGTACATCAATAGCTCAGATGAAAACATTGATTATAGGCCTACTGCGCACTCTGTCTCTCCCAAAAGGAACAATGAGAGGATTATTAGCCATGCTAGTACATTTAGTCAGACAGGAGATAGCCTTCCGCCCTCCCAAAGAGCAACACCTAAACGGTCTTATGGAATAGTACATGATCCGAGAGAATATTGTTCCTAGAATTTAAATAATTTCTCAATTTTAAACTTAAAAATTGGGGTTTTGGGGTTTTGGGGTTTTGGGGTTTTGGGG